AAGGCTTTTAAAGTTCATAAAGTATGTCTTGGGATATCCTAAGGCAAGGCTATAAGCACCCAAAATCAAAGATTTGACCATATTGGAAACATGAAAATAAATGACGGTAATAAAATAAAAAAAAAGTTTTGATTTAGAAAATACAAGAAGAATCGATTATTTCAAATTGAAAATTTTCCAATATCACCTTTCAAAATACTGAATGTAACATGACATTTAAAGGTACCAGATTTACAAAACTTATTAAACCAGAAAATCTACTTTCTTAAAAAATAAATAAATAAATATTTTTCGGAACTTATACACTGTTCTTATGAAAGCAAATAAATGACTTTTGAAATGACGTAATTATTTCAAGTTTGCATCGAAAATGCATTAGTAATGATTTAATAAAAAAAACTAATTAACCTAAAACTGTTACAAATACAAAAATTATACAAAAAAATTTTTTTAACAATGCCTTTAAGGCAAAAATAATAGAAGCTATATCATGACTACCGACAAAACTATAAGCAGATTAGGCCTAAATTACTTCGTTTATTTTGTCATAAAGTGACATCTACAGGGTGTTTGTAAATAATTGCGAAATATTTTAGGGGGTATTTTGTGAAAAAAAGTTCATATACCCGTAGGTCGAAATATGCTTCGTTTCCGAAATACAGAGTATTTAAATTTTGGAGGAATAAATGTGCATTTTTTGGGATGATCCGAATATTTCTACTTGCACCAGTGGCGTTCGTGCGAGAATGTCACACACTTATTTAATAATAAAAAAATGGTACGCCACTGGCTTTTTCCCGATTTGATATTTTTTTAGAAATCCGCCATCAATTTTGAATGAAATTGGTCACTTCAATTTTTTTCGTAGGATGCATCGTTTTTGAGGAAATAATATAACACATTTTATTGTAGGCTTTGTTAATCTTTTATTTAATAGGTCTCTTTTTATAAATAAAGCGTTATTGTGGTCAAAGTAAAAATGCAATTAAATATTGAAAATAAAAAATTGATATGAATGTCGGTAAAAAATTCTTCGATTTTGAGATACAGGATGTTTAAATTTTAACCTTTTATTTTTTTTTTCTTGAATATTTCAGAAGTTTTATTATCTAGTACAGTAACATTAAACCAAAATAATAACAAAACAACAGTAATAAAAATATTATTTAATAGTCCTACAATCTACAACAAATATTAAAAATAACCTCCCTCACAAATAATACAAGAGACAACTCTTCACACCTCATTGACTCATAATCGCTGAAATATTCGTCCTGGATTGCTTATTGTCGCAAAACCGGTTATAATTCGATTCCTCAGGTCTCTTTGAAATAAATAATAAAATAAATAAAAAATTCAAATTTAAACACTGTATCTCGAAAACGAAGCATATTTCGACCTACGTTTATAAGAACTTTTTTCACTAAATAACTTGGGCAACCACCCCCTAAAATGTAAACACCCTATATATGGAAATATCACCAAATCTTACAAGACTGTTTAAAGTTATTTAAAAAAAAACAACAATTTCTTTTGTTAACTCTAATGTTCCCTAGAAGCTAAATGAAGCTACTTAGGATAGAGGCAAGCTTAGTTAAATGTGCTTATTTTGATAGAAGTCAACTGTGGCAGCTCCATGTACACGGAATATTTGAACACCCTGTATACCTACGGGCGTGACAATATAAGACGCTAAAATTGAGACATTTTATTGACAGGACAAAGCAAATGTACAAATTTTTTCCATGAATTTTTTAATAAAAAGTTTAAAACAGTATGTTAAACATGACCAATTTGATATTATTTCTTCTTGCACTTTATTAGTTTTTCTAAACATATTATTCTTTAGAATGACGAAAATACTATAAAGCATGTAGTCAATAGTTTTCCTCGATATGTTGAAAGTAATGGAACAATCCTTTCTCACCCTGGCCTCGCAGTTGAAACAGAATTAAACAAAATTGCAAGGTGCAGTTTGCGAATTCACATCACAAGAGTAGGAACGCTAGCATTTGCCCATAAGAGGTGGCAGTGGAGCTAAAATTACTAGCATTTTTCGGTCAATGCTCCTTTTAGCGCACTCTTGCTGAAATTCACTCCGGCGACTTGTTTTTGTTGTTTAGAAAACGTCTTATTTCCTGGAAGTAGTGCCAAATGAAGGTTCGTGTTTTTCATCGTATTCTTGTTGTATCAAGCGATACATCTATTTTTACATTTCTTTTATAAAAGCTTGTAACAATTATGTCAAGTTACGTATTATTGGCTAGGTAGGTAGTGTGTCGCACGCACGTTGTTAAAAATAACTTCCGTTGAAAAAAATGTTAAATGATATTGCTGCTTCGGTACCAAGCTATTCGAGCTCATCAATATTGAGTATATTTTTAGAGTTACGAGTACAATAGAATTTCCTGTGATTTCTTACCTTGGTTACGCACTAAAAATGCTTGTGCTTTTAAAATGAATAAAATCACACATGTATCATTATAATAATAAAAAAATGATGAAAATCATCTTTGTAGTACTTAATTATACTCATTACACACACGATATGAAGAAATTATTTTTATTAAATCTACAGAGTGAGTGGGGAAAATCGCATCAAACTCCAGAAATGTCAAATACATCAAAATAATAAGAAAAAACTAAAATGTTGTTATGCAATTTTCATTTGTTTTTAAGTTATAGCGTAATTACAAGTTTGAAATTAGAGTATGTCATGTTCCTAGTTCAAAGTAGGATATTTGTCAGTGTTATTTTATGTTGCAATAGTTTAACATTTGATTATACGTTTGTACGATCAAAGTGTTACAAAATGCCAACAACTTGTTCAAATTTGGAGTATGCAAGTATGATGTTTGTTTTTGGTTTTTGTAATGGGAATGCTAATGCTGCTCTTGAAGGATATCGTCAATGGTTTCCACAGCACAGATGTCCTGATAAAAATGTAATTATCAAAGTTTTCAACAAACTGAGGGAAACCAGAAAGCTTCCAGATGTTAGTAGAACACCTGAACGAGCTCATCGACAAGGTTTAGAAGAAGTAGAAAATATTTTGGGTCTAGTAGAAGATGATGCCATTAGCTCACGAAGATTTGCTACTCAATTGACAAAAGAGACTAATAAACACCCTCCACGAGCAAGGCTTATATCCGTACCATGTACAGAGAGTACCATATCTACAACCGGAAGAGTATGCTAAGCGTATCTTATTGTAATCCCGCATACTTTTTACGGATGAAGCAACTTTCACCTGTGTGAATACTCGAATACGAATACTCGAAACTCTCATGTATGGTCAGACGAAAATCCTCACGCAACATTCGAAAGTAATTTTCAGCATAGGTTTTCGGTAAATGTGTGGTGTGGTATGATCGGTAGTTATTTAATTGTCCATTTTATTTTGGAGAATCGACTCACAAGAGACCACTACTTAATTTTTTTGGAAAATGGATTACGGATACTACTAGAGGATGTTCCTATAAACATGAGAATGTGACTGTGCTACTAGCATGATGGAACTCCTGCACATTTTGCTCGTCCAGTCAAGCTACATTTGAACGAGAGATTTCCAGGATGTTGGATTGGCCGCCAAGATCTCCAGATCTCGCAGCACTAGATCAAGAGCGAACACTCGCGATGCACTAATTCGACGTACCTATCATATATACGGCAGCACTTATTAAAGAAATACATGCAGCAATCAAGAGAGCTACAGATGCCCTTCGTAGACGAAGCAGAAAGTGTGTTGAGGTCAATGGTGGTGTTTTGTAACTATTAATCAAAGAACGCTGTAATTAATCGAATATCAATAAATTTATTTTTTTTATTGAAATGTACGTCATAGTTGAACAAATGAAAATGGCATAACAACATTCGAGTTTTTTTCTTAGTATTTTGACGTGTAGAATCCATTCCTTGAGTTTGATGTGATTCTCCCCCACTCGTCCTGTATATCAATTTCGAGTCTCACGGTCATATAATCCATAATAACTGAGACCATATAAACACTTTTCTGCGAAAGTATAAAGATTTATTGGACATAGATATTTTTACTATAATTTTAGGACGTTTCACATTTATGATCATAGGAGAAATGAACAGTTCACTTTTTAGTACCTTTAAAAGTTGAAATAAATAATAAACACCAACCGTTTGTCCTGTCGCATTCTTTCGAATTGATTGAAAACAGATGAGACGTTGTTGATGAATTTCAATTCGAGTTCTAACCACCTGAGTATCTACCTACCACTAAATTAGTTAAAATTGAGGTAACAACTATCCTACGTAAAGTTTTCGATTTAAAATTGATTTTACATGGAAATTGTAGTTAGTTATGGGGTACAAAGATGAAGAGGTGTTTCTACTTTTCAATGAAGTATGATAAATGATGTGTGGGAACTATAGAATGTTTCATATATACATGAGACATTCTATAGTTCCTATTCTTAATTTTTCATAGAAAAAGTAGACCATCATATTACGTAGCCCGCCACAAATGTTTTATTTTGANTTTGCTTATCTTGCTCCCCTTCCTCGTCGATTCATTCGACTGGCGCACATGGTTTACTAATTATAATAACAACTTAAATAATATCATAAATAGAGCAACAAAATATCCAACCCACGACCATTAATAACTAATAATAACCAATAATAAATAAAAAAACTAAATAAATAAAATTAACCTCAAACAACTGGGGAGGGCACAATTGTATATTATAAATGAATTAATTTTAAAAAAGTTAAATGCATTATCAATAAAGATATACCTATTATAGCTGACTGTGCAATTTATTGTTGCAATTTGACAATTATGGTTTTTCGACTCGACTATACATAATCGTAAAGAGCTTCTGAATTAATTTTTATGTTACCGGATACCTGTTTATGCGATCTTTATATGTGCGTGTGTCATATATATTTTATAAATAGCAATTAACCGACGCTGTAATTTTTATTGGAACTCGTAAAATAGCTGTTAACACACATTTTTATTACAGGTCATGTACTCCAGTCTACGCGAGATGGTGATAAGGGCACCAGCGCTACTCACATAGTTGCAACAAGGCTCATCCCGCGAAACATGACATAAATCGCGAGTTTCTTGCCGGGAAATAGATATTCCCTCACACCGTTTCAAAATGGCCAGTTTCCCAGTAGTTTTCGCGATCCTAGTGTTCGGCATTGTGAACATAAACTGTGATTACACCCAACGAAACAGACAACGAAAACCGCCCGTCTTCTCTCCCATTACGTCCTCCAGGAGCAACCACAAGCCGAACATCGTGCTCATCCTCACTGACGACCAGGACGTGGAGCTGGGCTCGTTGAATTTCATGCCGAAGACGCTGAAAACCATCCGAGACCAGGGGGCCGAGTTCAGGCACGCTTACGTCACCACTCCCATGTGCTGCCCTTCGCGGTCGTCTCTTCTGACGGGAATGTACGTGCACAACCACCAGGTGTACACCAACAACGATAACTGCTCCAGCACCCAGTGGCAGGCCACCCACGAGACTAGGTCCTTCGCCACGTATCTGTCCAATGCCGGATACAGGACTGGTAAGTACAAAATGTTCATTCACTGAAACAAAAAACATAGTAATCCTTTACACAATCTATGTACTACAATTTGTTGTAATTATAACTACAAACACAATTTGTAGTACTTTTTCGCAAACTATCATGCTTTCAGTTTTGTAGTAACAATCTTCATACACCTTTTGACTGCAATAGAAATATTGCAAAGTATTATTTACCTTGTTGTATCAGTTACTAAATGTTTTAGAGCAGTGTTTTTCAACCTTTTTCATGTCGCGGACCCCTTAGTATGGAAAAATATTTCGCGACCCCCTATTCTCCGCTGTTTCTAACTTGTATTTTTTTATGTTATAAATATCGAATCCGCAAATCATTTTTATTTTCATAATTAGGTATCGGCTAAATATGTAATTAAATACATAAAACAGATGTATTCTTACATCGACTGCGTCGCCAACCGTCTTCACGAAAACGCGATACGACAGTAGAGCTAACAACGCGCGTGCATGCAAGTGGCCGATACGATGAGCGATCTTTAATTAACCGTTTCTTAATAAATACAACATTTTGAACTAGAATGGTTTTATTTTTTTTACTTTAAAAGCCTCTAAAAGTAACTGCGACCCACACGTTGAAAAACACTGTTTTAGAGTATACAGACTGTTACAAATTCGCTTCTCACTATAGGGATCTCGGAAACGGTAAGAGCTACGAAGTTGCGCAATCAGGAGACCAACATTATGCCTCTAAAAAATCAAAGCTACCATGATTAGTTTTCGAAATATTTGAAAAAAAAATCCGTTTTTGTTTCATTTCAGCTTTGTTTGAGGTGATATTGAAAAAAGAAGAACAATTTCTCAAGGCCATTTTTTGCCCTCTATTGAATGGCATAATCAATTTTTGTATGTAACGTTTCGTTTCTCCAGGGCCATCATCAACTTCATTTTTTTAAATANAGCATTTTATTGATAAAAATCTTGTTCAAGCACAAAGATTAAATAATGTTCCATGTTCTCGAACATGTTTTATGATATATTTGATCTTTTCCACCCTTTATTCACCCTTAAAAACTCCCCCTATGCAAACAATAATGATAAAAAATTACTTTTTAAAGATTTGGAATGATTAAATCGTGAAATTATTCAAATAAAAGTTACCTTATACCTAATAACATTTTTTTTCCCTTTCAGCCCCTAATAACCACCCCTGTATTGACAAAAATTATAAAAAATTACTTTTTAAAAGCTTGGAATGCTTTAACGGTTCAATTATTTAAAATAAAAATTCCATCATTGCTTATGAAAGAATTTGTATCTCATAACACTTTTCAACCCTTATAAATCACCCCTATGCTGAAAAAATGATAAAAAATTACGTTTTAAATCTTGGAATGCTATAATTGCACAATAATTTAAAATAAAATTTCCCTTATATTGTTTATGAAAGAATATTTTACTTTTGCCATTTTCAACTCTTATAAACTACCCTTTTACAAATATTAATGTAAAATATTGTTATTATAATCGATTTTTAAATATAATCAATCATAAAAAAATTTGCTACGCTGCATATAAACTTTTATACACGCTGACGCGCACTTGAATCCTAACATTTTGCTCCAAAAATGAGAAAGCCTATTTTGCTCCGAAAATATGTCATTGGTTTTTTTACCATAACTCGGTTAATTTTGAAGCTATAGTGTCCTACAAAAAAGCATTTTAAAGATAATTTCAAGAGCTGTAAGATCGTTTGCATATTTTCAAGGGACAGGTCGTTTTTTCACGAAAATGGATACTTCAAGCGGCGATATCTCCTTTTTTGCTATAGGAATAAAAAAAGCAAAATATTTGTTGAAAGAAAAGCTACATTTTTGTTGTCTATCATTTTTTACGTATCTCTCATAGTTTCAGAGTAAATAAAGCAATTTTTTTTGAATAATGAAAAATACGTTTTCAATTTTTACCGTACATTATTCTAAAAATACGCATTCTAAACCGGTCTAACTTCAGGATCATATGAAAACATTAAAACAAAACTAATTGTAAAGGGTCTACGATTAGTTTTAATTCTGATGGAAATGGTACAGCGTTTACTGCTCATTTTTCCTTAAAAAATATGAGCAACCCATCTGTTTTTGACGACAACTCCTTCAATTAATTAACTTTTATACGTGCTCATTTTGAAGGTCTTTTTGAGTACTACAAAAAACTCCAACAGCGTTATACACGTAAAATTAATCCTTTTTCCGTTATTTGACGTTGAATAAATCAAATCGAGTATCCCCCCCCCCCAAAACAAGTCCCTTTCAACTAACCATATTTCGCTTTGTGTAGGACGTACAACACTTTTTAAAAAACGAGTGTCTCTTTTGTTTATTTATAAGCTACATTTTTGTTCTTTACACCTTTTAAATAAAATGCGTAGATTTTGAGTTATTCGCGAAAAATACTTTGAAAAAGTGTTTTTTTTTCACCCAAAATTTCAAGTTTTAAATCATGAATAACTAAAAAACTATTGATTTCTCGAAAAAATTCATCGAGTATTTTTTGCTCAAAATTTGTTTCTCTCGATTTCCGTTATTTCTGAAAAAAAAAAAATTTTCCACCCCCGAGAATCCCCAACAGGGTGGAAGCGTCAATCGTCGCTATGTCACTAATGTTTATTGACCTTTTCTCTAACTATCTGCCAAATTTCAAGTCGATCGGTTCAGTTTCAAAGAATTTGGAGGTGAAAAGCTTCAATGACTGTATTAAATTAGCAATCCATGGCCTGCTGCGGTTTCTTTAGACGAGATTTTTGGAAAAATCACTTTAAATGTTGATAATAGCCCTAATCAGCATATTTTAAAACTCTTAAATATAAAACTTCTTTAATTTATAACTCAGACAGATTTAAATCTTTATGAAGTTTCCGATTTAGTTCAAAGATCTAGGAGGTTTTGGAAATGCCTAAATATGAAAAATTTGTCAGTTATTAAATAATAAAGATAAAGTATTTTCACAATTTTAGACTCACATGCGGACTATATTATTTATCTATAATTCTAATCGTCAGTGTCAGTAATTGTCTATATTTTCATTTTCAGGTATAATCCAATATCTTCTAGATTTTTAAACTGAAACAAAAGCTTAAACAATTTAAAAGTCTGCACCGCGTAAGATCAGAGACTCCTTGATTCAGGATTAGTAGTGTTAGACCAATTTACCTTTAAACAAAAATCAACTACTACTGAGATACAGCCCTCTCAGTGTTGTACTACGAAACAACACTTTTTTATATTATGTACTTTTAAAACGGTTTGAAGAAGAGGCTTCTTATTTAGCATGCCTCTTTATTTGTTTGAATATAATGTACTACCGGAATATGTAACAAAATTACACAGGGTGTTATTTTATCTTATAATTCTTTTATATGATTACGTATGATTTTCTAAATCGCATTTGCCAATATAAAATTTATATTTACCTACGACCACTACTGTAAGTACTTAAAAACACACTCTCTGCGATCAATGTAAGATTCCTATTACGTACGGTAAAAAAAACGCACAGTTTTCCTAGCAACTGCCTAGCAACGGCCAATACAATACTGTTTGTATTGACCGTTGCTAGGCGGTTACTAGGAAAACTGTGGGTTTTTTTTACCAAGCTGTGCGATTTTTTTACCGTACGACGTAATAGGAATCTTGCATTGATCGCAGACGGTATGTTTTTAAGTATTTAAAGTAGTGGTCGTAGGTAAAGTATAGTACGTAATACGTGGTGTAATGCAATTACGCACTCATAGAATTACGCACTCGCCGCTACGCGGCGTCGTGCGTAACTTTTCCATTCGTGCGTAAAATGCTTTTTACAACACTTATTACGTAATATACTATTAATGTGCATGCTCAGTG